TTTTTCCCAGTCTGTGGCTTCCCTTTTTACCCTGTTAGAGAAGTTTCTGGATGCGCATAGGGATTTGATTCTTAGAAGGTCCCATTCATCTATTTTATCTTCTCCTGGTTGTAAATGTTTCAGAATACTTGGAAGACTGAAAAAGTTCTTGTTACAAAATTATTATATTTTTATTAGTGAAAAAATACTATTTTATCAATTGTTTTCATAATTCGTTCTAGATGTGCACTGTGTTGAAAGTATCTCTTTCACCTTCTCTTTTAGTCATTCCATTACATTCCTCATGGTAGATCTCATTCCTTATTTAGGAACAGATCCTCAAAAAGATTCACTGAGACAGTGAGCTGAGCATGTCAGAGATAATGAGGATGGCACAAGGCGGGGTAAGATTTATATCTGTTGTTCATAGTGTTGCTAGGATTCACAGTAGACTCAATGGCAAGTAACAACAAAGACATGTCTTATGTAGCATGACACCTTTTGCTTTCCCATTTCCCAAATTCCTACCTCCCCTCCACATCTATTTGTACAAGTTTCTCCTGTAGAGAGCTAATGAAGTCTTAGATTCTCACTCACCCTCCACTGTAGATTTAAAGAGCCTAAAAAAAACAACAAAAAACAAATACCAAAACAAAATTCATGAGTGAATTTGTTAAAAATTTAAAAAAGTGTTACTTATATATTGCAAGTGAATGTTGAGATTTCTAGTAGGTGATGTCAAAGTTTAAACTTTTCCCAGAAATGGATATGGTCATATTATTTCTGAAGACTACAAATATAGTCATAAACTCAAAACTCATTGCCCTCCAGTCAGAACTGATACATAGCTAGCCCTCCAAATAGTTTTTAGATTGTAAATTACATAAGAGAAGATTGTCCATCTTTCTCCCGTAGAACAGGTGATGGGTATAAACCACCACGGGGGCATAGCCTTTGGGCTAGCAGTACACCTCCTTGCAGACTACATCACGAGATAGTATACAGAACGATAGAGAAATGAAAAAGTATCATTGCTCTTCCTCCCAACACAACTCACCCTTATAATTCCAGGAGATACCTACTGATAACTGTTATTATTCTTAAGAATTTTCATGTATTAATAAGCCCCTGTATCCAGTTTTAATAGGATCATGATATTATATCATGTACATCATTCAGTCCTTTCACATTCTGCATGTGACTTTCCAAATACTTACTTTGTCATTAATCATGAGTTTCAGAAACTGCTTTGAACTCCATTGTGTAGCTTTGTCATTCTTCTTTTTTTATTAAATTTTATTAATTTTAATTAACATTTACAGAGATTTGGGGTTTTCATTCATTCATTGTTGCACTATTTTCTCTAACCCTCCTCCCCAGTTCATTCTTCTTTTTTCCCCCCTTGAAAGTATGTTTTAATTGTCCAATTGCCACAGTGCTTGTCAAAGCCAGTTCTGATTAATCTCCTTTGTCAGTGTGTCCTTTGCCATTCCCTATCACTCCTCCTTG